TGATTGAGACCACAGTGAGAGGCATGTTGGAGGGAGGTGTACCAAAACCCCAGGGCTCTGCTTGATACATGCACCTGTTGTAGGGACCAAGGCACAGAATTGCCATCACAGACAGGAAGTGACTAGGGATGTGGCAGCATAGGTGTAGGGTTGGAGAGAAAACATTCACTCTAAGAAAATACCTTTCTAGGTTCATAGACCCTGTCCAGAGTTATCATTCATCAAAATTTCCTTATCTCTGAATCATTGGCTTGAAATCGCTTATTGAAGACAAAGAACAGCCACAAAGACAGTTTGCCATTTGGTGATTAGATTGAGCAAGAGGAATGGACTAGGGAAATTCTGAAACATCTGCCACAAAAATCAGTAAAAATATGGGTGAATTGTGGATTTTTCAGACCAATTTGTTCTATAAATATTTATTGAGTACATATTATGTTACAGGTCTTGTTTTGAATAAGGAAGGCTGTGAAATCTCTCTGTTGCTTTCCTTCTTTTGTATATTGTGCAGTTTCATATCATTTAATGAATTAGTTTAATTTAGGTATGGGGGCTGAGTTAATGGCATTCTTGTTTACTTTCTAAGTTGCCTACTATGTGACAAACTTTGTGCTACTGCTCATTCCATCTTATTAAAATCCCTAGCATAGAAGAGTTCAATTTCCATAGTGTGGATTTACTTGCCTTCCAACAGTCTTATCCACAAAATGATCAACAATTAGTGGCTCTTAGAAGGACACTGAAGGAGCAGAGTATGAATTATCTTCTTTCTCTGATCTTGCCCTTCCCTTCATCACTCCTCTAAAAGCAGGTTTGCCATCATGAGGCTCATTTTGCGCACCTCCAGGCCCTTCTTGTCCAATCAGTGTTCCATAATCCATAATACTCATGCTCTCTAATTTTTTCCTTCCACTTCTAACCCATTTTCTCAGTGCCTTAAAATTTGAATGGTAATGGATAGTTGATAAGTGATCTTGTACTGTAATTTCCTCTTATATTTGCATTTGAAAGCAGATGTGTAGAGTAGAAATCTTAAAAGAAGTGTCTTTTTAATTTTTTCATAAAATTTTATTATTTGAACAATTTTTAAGTGTGCAATGCAGTGGCATTAAGTACATTTATCTTGTTCAACCAGCACCACCATCCATCTCTAGAACTCCTTTCATCTTGAAAAACTGAAAGTTTGTACTTATTAAACAATAGCTCCCCATCCTCTGTCTCTCCAGCCCCTGGCAACTACCATCTACTTTCCCTTTCTATGAGTTTGACTACTTTAGATACCTTGTATAAGTAGAATCATGCAATACTGGTCATTTCGTGACATTTAATTTCGCATAATGTCTTCAAGGGTCATCCATGTTGTTGCATGGGTCAGAATTTCTTTCCTTTTTAAGGTTGAGCGATATTCCAGTGTAAGTATCTAGCACATTTTGTTTATCCATTCATCTGTTGATGTACATTTGGATTGCTTCCACCTTTTGGTGGAAACATGGATATAAAAATAAATCAATATTTTGGGTATACACCAATTATTTTCAATATCTTTGAAAATATTCTCAGAAGTGGAATTGCTGGATTGTATGGCAGTTCCATTTTAAAATTTTTGGGAACCATTTATACTGGTTAATTTGAACAACTATGCTCTCGACTCCTTTCTCATAAGCAAGATTCAAGGAACAGAGAGAGAGTGATCACTGGCCGTGAGGGAAGTTCCAGTATCCTGGTGGTTCACCAAAGCCTAGAAGAGTTTATCACCCTTGCTACAGTGCATTGCTCAAGTCAGGTGCCTAATAATTGGTCTCAAAGGAATGCTCAAGCCATCACCTCATGGTCTGCTCCTGACTTATAGTTTGTGTATCCTTTATAATGTGTTCTTTCCTGTTTTGGTGAAAAAGCCAAACCTGCAATTATTTAATTATTTCTTATTAGTTCCATTTTCATAAATAAAGAACCTGTTAACATACTACCTTAAAATTTTTCAAAGGCTCAATAAGTAGTAATTTTGCTACCCTCTAGTCTCTCGCAAATTGTCTTTGAAAATAATTTATAGTGGAGAAACCAGAGAACAGGTTTTCACTAACAGAGAGAGCTGTGTTCAAAACTATTAGCTCTACCAAAAACTTTCCAGACACTTGTGAGCTTTGTTTCATTATTTGTAAAATGGGAGAGTGATATCTTCTTTAATATTTTGTTGTGACACTTAATAATGTATCCAAAGAGATTGACAAGACAGATGATCAATTAATGAGAGTAACCTCAGTAGGTACAGGAAAGGCATTTGACAAATCCAGCATCCATTCCTGATTAAAAACTCCCAATGAATTAGAAATTGAAGGGAATTTCTTCAACTTAATAATGGTCCTCTACAAAAAACTTACATCAAATGTCCTACTTTATCGTGAAAGAATGAATGTTCTCCCCTAAGATCAGCTTTAAGGGAAGAATTTTGCCTCTCACCACTTCCATTTAATATTGTACTAGGGGGTTCTAGCCAGTGCAATAAGGCAAGAGAAGGACACAAAGGACATACAGTTTGGAAAGGAAGATGTGAACCTATCTTTATTCACAGACAGCATAATTGTCTGGGTAGAAAATCCAAGGGAATCTATAATAAAAACAAAGCTAATAGATGAACAAGTAAGTCTAAAAAAGTCAAATATAGATCCAATATATGATTCAGTCATTCTACTCCCAGGTATTGACCCAAGAGAAAGAAACCATATGTCTATAAAATATCTTACATGCAAATGTTCATAGTAGCTTTATTTGTAACAGCCCCAAACTGGGACTGACTGAAATGTCTGTCAACAGGTGAACAGATAAACAAATTGTTTTATATCTACATAATGGAATAATGCTCAGCAACAAAAAGGAATTAACATTGATACTTCTAAGACCACGGGAGAATCACAAAATAATTATGCTGAGTGAAAGAAACCAAAAAAGTACATATGATTCCATTTATATAAAATTATAAAATATGCCAACTAATTTATGGCAGAAATGTTGTCTGGAAATGAGAGTGGGAGGTGACAAGAGGGCTGAGAGAAGGGTTACAAAGAGATGCGGACACTTTCGGGGCGATGCAGACGCTCATTATCCTGATTGTGCTGACGCTTCACAAGTACATACAAACATAAATCTAACAAAATTGTTTACTTTAAATGGGTGCAGTATATGTTTATGAAAATTATACATCAATGAAGCAATTAAAAATCCAAATTTAACGAATATCTTCCCTCAACGTTGTACAAGTCTTCTTGTGTGACTCAAAATGCAAAATATTTCTCCTCTAGGTTCTAATTGACCTTAAACTTTGTTTTTTATATACCTTTCTGCATCCATGTGCTGTACCACTTACTTTCAACTCAGACTCATCCCAACTGATTTTGCATTCTCCTCATATAACAGGATAGAAGTTTGTATCAACTTTTCCGGAATTCTTCCTAGCGTAGTTTTGTGCCAGGTTCTGACAATGTGACTTGAAAGGTGGAGAAGAAGAGAACGGATACGTGAACCCAGACAGTATCTGGGCCTGAATTTCCTACTTGAGTCCGCATCTGGGAGACTATTCACATGATGACTCTGGACTCATGAAGCCTCTCGGTCTGAATCTGTGGAGAGTGAACTCCAGGAAACAGACTGAGCTAAGCTTCTATCTATGTGTCTGGGGATAAATGTTTACCAGGCCTTACAGAAAGATGTGTCCTTCTCCAGAATCTCATCCTGATAATTCTCAGAGGTTTTCTGTTTTGTTTTATAAAACAAATGGTCATAAAAAGGGAGCTAAAGACGTTCTTGCTTTTGCTGCTTGTACTTCATGAAAAAGACCAGTTTATTGAAATCTGTGTAGTTGGGGGACATTTCCCCAAGCTGATCCCAGAGCTTTCTCCCTCATCTTTGAGCACCATCTTGGGCTAGGACAGTTATCACAAATGAAATCTTGTAAACTGGTATCAGGCAGGCTGCAACAAAACTACCCAGGGAGCTTTTAAAAATGGGTCTCAACTCTGGAGAGCCTGATTCATGAAGTTAGTGGTGGGATCCTAGAATCCGTAATTTAAATCACTCACACAATGATTGCATTATCAGCTGCTGTATGAATATCAACTGCATGTCTTGAACAATTTGAAAACTGAGAAAGAAGAGAGGCCTAACTTTGCTCCAGAGTTTTGATGCAAATCCATATCTTCTGGGTTCCCTATCCTGTGGGGGAAAATTCTTTGATTAAAGTTTGGCACCAAAATTTGGCAGATGGACAGTAATAGAAAGCATCCTTGAGGCTATTCTAATCTCCATTAGAAGTACAGGATTAATATTCATTGCCTAATTCACATAAGTTAACCATCTTATCTTAGAATCAACGAAATAGTGGGAGAATAAGATATTGATCTCAGATCATTGTGTGTGGATTTTTTAATTTCAGTTATGATGTTTCTTCTGTCTAGGAATCAAATTTTTCACTTTTGAATGATTTTGAAATTCAGGAATATTTAACTATTGATAAGATAGCGTGACTTTTTCTCCTAAAAAGCTTCTATGAAAAAGGTGGCATTCCTTACAATTAATATTATTTTAGGACCGAGGAAATATCGTATTTCAAGTAGTAGTGAATCCTCAATCAAGGATTGTTTATTCATTATTTTTGTTTAATTTAACAAATATTTAGTCAGCACATAATAAATGCCAGTCACTGTTCTATATATTGGGGTAGAGTGCTGAGAAACACAAAATCACTCAATAATGCCTTACTTCTTATTACTTCCTCTGTATTCAAACCCAAACCCTTTTCTGACATTCTAATGAATGATAGGTGGCCCACGATGAGTACATGAGAATATAAGTACTGTATTAAAGTGCTCAAGAAAATTGATGTCTTCTCAGCTATAGAAATACCCTGGGATGCTCTGTTAAAGAACTTCGATGTCAGGTGGTGTCCCAAAACAAAATAGACCTGAGAGGTTACAGTAGCTGTTGTTCAGATTTCTAAGCGCCACCTGAAGACTGACATGCACACATAAATAAAGTCAGAGATGAGAACATATTTCTGACTTTGTGAGGAGTCTAGGAAACATGCATCACATTTCAGTCCCTGTCCACCAGGGGGTGCAACTTCCTAACCCAAACACATTTCCTGAGTGAAATGTAGGCTTTGATTTACCGTTTCACTATGACTTCAACATTTCTTCATGTTAAGAATCGAGAGCAATATTTATATGATAATCCAGCGATGAACTCTTCTCCAGGCTTAATGACTTTGATATTCTTAATGCTTGGTAAGTAAAATATCTCTTAAAATTCGGATTCTTTCTTCTGCTATGTCAGCAAAATCTTTAATCATAATTTTATCCCAGAACTTTATGCCCAAGGTGACACATCTCTTTTGTTTTCCCCAGGACAAACCTATGGAGAGTCAGTGACCCAGATGGAAGGCCAAGTGACCCTCTCAGAAGGGGCTTCCCTGACTCTGAACTGTACTTACTCAACCACCGGGTACCCCACTCTTTTCTGGTATGTTCAATATCCTGGAGAAGGTCCACAGCTCCTCCTGAGAGCCACGAAGGCCAACAAGAAGGAACCCAGCAAAAGTTTTGAAGCCACATACAATACAGAAACCACCTCCCTCCACTTGGAGAAAGCCTCAGTCCAAGAGTCAGACTCAGCTATGTACTACTGTGCTATGAGTGACACAGTGACAGGAACTGCAGGGGGAGCTGAGCACAAACTCTGAACAGCAACAAGGGGCCTGGCTGCTGAGTGTCTCTGACTGTTTGATCCACTCTGGGTTCATCACAGTCTATGGTTGTTTGTCCTGCAGTCCCTGCTTGATACAAAATCATACAAACGGCTAGAGCATAAGAACAAGAAGTGAACATTCCCCATACCCAACTCTTCATTAGTGAAACTGAAAACAATGCGACACCAATAGTTCCTCCTTCAGGGCCAAAATAATCTTAAGATAAAACCATAAATCTTAAGATAAAACATAAACAAAGAAGTGGTCTCTTGCTTATCCTTGTAGTCAAAATCCGCCCTCACAAGTTGTTCTAGGCCATTTTGTGGGTATTGCTGTATCTTATTATTCTTTTAGATTTGTGTCTAAATCATGGAGAATGCCCCATATCTTATTCCAGGCCAGTACAGAGATCTGTTGGCTTTAAAGCAAGATAGTTTTGCAGTGCCAATGGAAGATTAAGCATACATATTCATCCCTGTATCTTCTGAAACCATATTAAAAGGATAGTAAAGAAACTGAACAAGGCATAAACTCACAAAGAGAACAGAAAGGAGATGACAGCAGACGGTGATATCAACCAAATTTTAAAGGGTGAGCAAATACGGAGAAATAAAATCTTGCATAGCAGACCAAATAAAGAAGAACCTTGGATCCAGTGTGAGAAGCCAACAACAAGCACCACGATGTGTGCTATCCCCTCGTGGAAGGGTTTAGGAATCAGGAGCTCCAATTACTTTTCAATAATTGAGGTAGATGGTGCTGTGCGTGTGTATGCGTTTGTGCATTTTGAAAGAATTTTGGGGAGGAGGGAAATAGGAGGACTGGAAGAGAAAATATATAGTAACAGCTTACCCATGTTCGCTACCAATTTCCACGTAATAAGCAACGATCACTTCCCAACCCCCCCAGAAAACTGGAAGTTAGTCATTGATGAACTGAGGAACAGCACATAAAAAAGTAAAAATAGTTAAAGTAGAAAAATATAATGATTAATTATTCACTTCAGGGAAAATAAAATATTATTCAAGATAGGAACATACTCATAATAGTCTATAGGGTTCAACAAAATTTTTTTCTAGATGTTTTGCTAATGTATACCACCAGTAGTGGTGATTGGGCAGAATACCTATTTTCCCCAAACCTTGTGCATTAATAAGGTTTTTGGCTTTTGCTTATCAGTGAAGCTTTCTTTTATTTTGAATAATTCTTTAATTATGAATGAGATGGAGTATCGTTTCATATATTTAAAAGCCGTTTACATTTTTCTGTAAATTGTCCGTTCATATATCTACCCATTTTCTACTGCATTATTGTCATTTAAATATAGATTTTAAAGAAGATTCTATATGTTATGAAAATTGTCATATGACTGTCATATATATGTGTCTTTTTACAAAGCTTATCGTTATCCTTTTGACTTTATTTATGGTCTTTTTCTGCCATGCAGAATTTAAACAATTGAAAGGTGCTGCTGCCTCAGTGTTTTGGATCCTGTCACTGCTTTGGAGGAAAATTTTTGAATTTTTTCTGTTACACATATGCTCCGTCATGAAGTTTGTAAAAATCTGTTGTGGTAAAGATCATTGCCTCGCTTGAGGGCGTTGTTGAGAATTTATTATATTTCAAACATAGTGCCTCTAATTTAAGTAGAATGGGTATGGGCAGTTCCGTTGTCTGAGATTCTCTCTTTCTCCCTCTCTCTTTTCCTCTCTCCTCTCATCTCTCTTGAGTTTGCTGACTGATTCTGTGTTTCCGTCCTTCCCTGAAGTAAGTGTCTCTGAGGGATCAACCATTTCTTTGGGCTACATCATCACCACCAACACTTAAAATCATTTTGTTGTGTAACATAACAAATGTTCACAAAGATATGTAAAACCTACAAACAAGAATCTATATTATTTAGGTGCATACAAATTTAAGACTATGATTTTTGGGACATGAAATCTCTTTACAATTTTTAAAAAACTCTATATTAAGTCAGCGTTCTCCAGAGAAACAGAACCAATAGGATCAATAGGGGGTGTGTGTGTGTGTGTGTATGTGTGTGTGTGTACAGAGAGAGAGACAGAGAGTGGAAGAGACCGAGACAGAAATTTTAGGAATTGGCTCATATGAATGCGGACACTGAAAAGTCCAAATTCTGCAGGGCCGGCGGGCAGGCTGGAGACCCAGGGAAGAGCTGATATTGCAGCTTCCATCCCGAGGCAGTCTGGAAGCAGAATTCCTCCTACCTCCAGGACCTCAATATTTTTGTCTTAAGACCTTCAACTGATTGGAAGAGGTGCACTCACATTATGGAGAGTAACCCGCTTTACTCAAAGTCTGCTCATTTAAATGTTAATCTCTTCTAAAAACTACCTTCACAGGGACTTCTAAACTAATGCCTGACCAAATATTTGAGTACCATGGCCTAGCCAAGTGGACGCAAAATTAACCATCACACTTTCTTTACCTCTAATAATTCTATTCTGAAAGCCTAGCTTGTTTTAAATGGATATAATATACCAGCTTTCTTTTGATAAGTGTTTGCATGGTATATCTTTTTTCATTCTTTTGCTTTCCACCACTCTGTGCATTGTATCTCAACTTTGCAATAAATATCATATATCCCCACTCTCAATTGTTCATTGGCTTCCTATTTCACTGAGAAAATAGAAGCAATAAGAAGAGAATTTGCACAAGCTTCTAAACTTACCACTTATCAGCATCTGTGCTAAATATTCTGTCTTTCCTCTTATTATATTGTAATTCCATGAGAATGGAGAATTTGCTTATCCTCAACACATATAACCATATCTGGGCAGCAGTAGGCCTACAAAAAATTGTTAAATTACAAATGAATAATAAAAAATACCACTACGAGTACCAGAACAAAAAATTACCCTTAAGTCATTCAATAAAAATTTACATGCCTATTTCTTTGCAGGCTCTATTCTAGAAACTGAGGATATAGTAGAGAATAGAACAGATAAAATTGTCTATCCTAAAGAGCTTATATTTTAGTTGAGGGCTAAATTCAAACTAGTCACTACCATAGGCCCTTTACATGCATCCTCTCTTTTGCTTTTAAATTGTTTCCCACATTTATTGATGGATAATTGACAAATAAAAATTGTCTATATTTAAGGTGTGCAACATGATGTTTTGATATACATATACATTGTGAAAGGATTACCACAGTAACACTAATTAACATATCTATCACCTCACATTGTCACTTTTTTTTTGTGATGAGAACATGTCATCTACTTTCTCAGCAAATTTCAAGTATACAATACAGTATTACTAACTAGAGTCAGCGTGTTGTATGTTGGATCTGCAGAACTTATTCATCCTGCATGACTGAAACTTTGCACCCTTTGACCAATATCTCCCCATTTCCCCCACCCCCAAGCCACCTTGCAACCACCTTCCTACTCTCTGCTTCTATGAATTCAGCTTTTTCAGATTCCTCAAATAAGTGATTTCATGCACTATTTGTCTTTCTGTCTACGTCTTATTTCACTTACCGTAATGTTTTTCAGGTCCATTCATGTCATCTCAAGTGGCAAGATTGATTTCATCTGTCTATGAACATGTAGGATGTTTCCATATATTGGCTACTGTGAGTAACACTTCAACAAACAGGGGAGTGCAGATATCTCTTCAAGATACTGATTTCATTTCTTTTGGATGTATACTAAAAAACGGGATTGCTGGATTCTATGGTATTTCTATTTTTAATTTTTTGAGGAACTTCCATACTGTTTTCCATAATGGCTGCACCAATTTATGTTCACTCCAATAGTATATAAGGGCTTCCTTTTCTCCACATCCTCGCCAACTCTTGTTATCCTTTGCCTTTTGATAGCAGCCATTCTAACAGGTGTGAGGTAATATCTCATTGTGGCTTTGATTTACATTTCCCTGATGATTAGTGATGTTGAGCACCTTTTTATATACCTACTGGCCAATAATATGTCTTCTTTGGAGAAATGTCTATTCAAATTCTTTACTCATTTTTAAATTGGGTTGTTTCCTTGCTATTCAGTTGTTTGAGTTTCTTGTATATTTTGGATGTTAGTTCCTTATGAGATATATGGTTTGCAAACATTTTTTTATAACTCTGTAGATCTCTTCACTCAGTTGATCGTTTCCCTTGCTAGGCAGAAGCTTTTGAGTTTGATGCAATTCTACTTGTTTATCTGTGCTTTTGTTGTCTGTGCCTTTTGATTGATATCCAAAAAATTATTGCCTAGGCTAATGTCAAGTAGCTTTTTCCTTGTGTTTTCTTCTAGTAATTTCACAATTTTATGTCTTATGTTTGTCTTTAATTCATTTTGAATGGATTTTAGTGTAAGGTATGAGATAAGGTTCCAATTTCATTCTTATGTATGTGGATATCCTGTTTTCCCAATGCCATTTATTGAAGAGGCTACCTTTTCCCCATTGGAGAATGAGGACTATTCTTTCCCCATTGTATCAAAGATCAATTGACCATAAATGTGTGAATTTCTTTCTGCACTCTCTGTTGATTCACTGGTCCATGTATCTGTTTGTATGTTGGTACCATACTGTTTTAATTACTACAGCTTTGTAGTATATTTTGAGATCAGGATATATGATGCCTCCAACTTTGTTCTTGCTCAAGATTGCTTTGGCTATTTGTGGTCTTTTGTGCTTCCATAAAAATTTTAGAATTGTTTTTTCTATTTATTTCAAAAATGCTATTGGGATTTTGATAAGGATTGCATTGAATCTGTACATTGCCTTGGGAAGTAGGGAAATTTTAACAATATTAATTCTTCCAATGCAAGAATACAGGATATTTTTCCATCTGTTTTGTGTCTTCTTCAATTTCTTTCATCAATGTTTTATAGTTTTCAGTGTACAGATCTTTCACAGTCTTGGTTAAATTTATCTTAAGTATTTTATTGCTTTTGATGCTGATTTAAATGAGATTGTTTTCTTAATTTTGTTTTCTGATAGTTCTTTGTTAGTGTATATGGAAATGCAACTCATTTCTGTATGTTGATTTTGCATCCTGCAAATTTACTGAATACATTCATTAGTTCAAACAGATTTTTTGTGGAGTCTTTAGGGTTTTCTATATGTAAGATCTGCATATTTCTATATGTAAGGTCTGCAAATACATACAATTTTACTCTTCCTTTCCTATTTGGACGTCATTTCTTTTGTTTACCTAATTGCCCTGATTAGGATTTCTAGCACTATGTCAAATATAAGTGATGAGAGTGGGCATCCTTATCTTGTTCCTGATCTTAGAGGAAAAGCTTTCAACTTTTCACCCTTCAGTGTGATGTTATCTGTGGGCTTGTCATATATGACATTTACTATGTTGGAGTACATTCCTTCTATACCTGATTTGCTGATAGTCTCTATCATGAAAAGTTTTATTGTCAATTGTCAATTGTCAATTTTTCTGCATGAGCATATGATTTTTAACTTTCATTTTGTTAATGCAGTGTATGACATTTACTGATGTGTATTTTGAACCATCTTTGCTTCCAGGGATAAATTCCGCTTGAGCGTGGTGTGTGATTCCTTTAATGTGCTTTTGAATTCAGTTTGATCCTCATTTTGTTGAAGATTTTTGCATCTATATTCATCAGAGTTATTGGTCTGTAACTTGCTTTTCTTTTGGTGTCTTTGTCTGGCTTTGGTATCAGGATAATGCTGGTCTCTTCAAATGAATTTGGGAATGTTTCTTCCACTTCAATTTTTGGGAAGAGTTTGGAAAGGATTGCTAATTCCTTTTTAAATATTTGGTAGAATCCACCTATGAAGCCGTCTAGACTTGGGTTTTTCTTTTTGGAGGTTTTGATTACTGAATCAATTCCTTGTTATTGGTCTGTTCAAACTTTTTATTTCTTCTTGAATCAGTTTTCAGTAGCTGGTGTGTTTCTAGGAATTTATCCTTTTATTCTAGGTAATCCAGTGTCTAGGTCTATAAATGTTCATAGTAGTCTCTCATGATCCTTTGAATTTCTGTGGTATCGGTTGTAATGTCCTTTCTTTCATTTTTAATTTTATTCATTTGAGTCTTAAATAATGTTTTCTCCATGTTGCTAAAGTTTAGTTAATTTTATCTTTTCTAAACCCTGCTCTTAGTTTTGCTTTCTTTCCTATTGTTTTTCTAGGCTCTATTTTGTTTATTTCTGTTCTAATGTTTGTTATTTCCTTCCTTCTGCAAACTTTAGGCTTACTTTGTTCTTCTTTTTCTAGTTCCTTGAGGTGTAAAGAAAGGTTCTTTATTTGATATCTTTCTTTCTTCTTAATATAGATGTTTATCACTATAAATTTCTTTCTTAAAATTCCTTTTGCTGCATTCTATAAGTTTTGGTAGGTTACTTTTACATTTTTATTTGTGTCAAAAAATTATTTGATTTCTTCTTTGACTCATATGTTGTTCAGGAGTGTGTCATTTAATTTCCATATATTTGTCATTTTTCCAATTTTCCTCCTGTTATTGATTTCTAGTTTCATATCACTGTGATCAGAAAAGATACTTGCTATGTTTTCAATCTTTTAAAATTTGCTGGCTTATTTTGTGGCCTAACATAT